ATTGAGTGTGCCCTCAGCAAGTCTGCCAATGACACCAAGCTGTGTGGTTCGGTTGATATGCTGGAGGGAAGGAATGCCATCCAGAGGGACCTTGACATGCTTGTGAGGTGGGCTGATGCCAACCTCATGAAGTTTAACCATGCCAAGTGCAAGGTCCTACACCTGGGTCGGAGCAATCCCAGGCACAGCTACAGGCTGGGCAGAGAAGAGATTCAGAGCAGTCCTGCGGAGAAGGACTTGGGGGTGCTGGTCGATGAGAAAATGAACATGAGCCGGCTTCAGTGTGCGCTTGCAGCCCAGAAAGCCAACCATATCCTGGGCTGCATCAAAAGAAGCATGACCAGCAGGTCGAAGGAGGTGATCCTGCCCCTCTACTCTGCTCTTGTGAGACCTCAGTTGGAATATTGTGTACGGTTATGGTGTCCTCAACATAAAAAGGGGCATGGAACTATTGGAACAAGTCCAGAGCAGGGCCATAAGGGTAATCAGGTGACTGGAACACCTCCCATATGAAGATAGGCTGAGAAAGTTGGGGCTGTTCAGCCTGGAAAAGGGAAGGCTGTGTGGAGACCTCATAGCAGCCTTCCATTATCTGAACGGGGCCTATAGGGATGCTGGGGATGGACTCTTCATTAGGGACTGTAGTGATAGGACAAGGGGTGATGGGTTAAATCTCAAACAGGGGAAGTTTAGACTGGATATAAGGAGGAAATTCTTTCCTGTTAGGGTAGTAAGGCACTGGAATAGGTTGCCTAGGGAGGTTGTGAATGCTCCATCCCTGTCAGTGTTCAAGGCCAGGTTGGACGAGGCCTTGGGTGATACAGTTTAGTGTGAGGTGTCCCTGCTCATGGCAGGGGTGTTGGAACTTGATGATCTTAAGGTCCTATCCAACCCTAACTATTCTATGATTCTATGATTCTAAGATAATTTTTCTCATCCATTGAAGCAAACGTAAAACAAGTATTGAAAAAAAATACCAAACTTTTAAGAAATGAGAGAAGGACTGTGATTATTTGGATCTTATTTGGAAATTTTTCTTCAACTTTTTTTCCAGGTAGTTTCAAAACATGTGCTTGGGCCACATCTTTAGTTTAAAAAAGGGTGTCGATGAATCTGTTTGGCTGTATACCAAGGCTGAATTTGTGTTGTAGGTAGTCAAAAGTTTTAAGAACTTCTCACAGTGAAATGTTGCTTCAAACAGCAAATGGTCTCCTTTCTGTGACTTTTCCAAAATGATGATCAGGCTAAATCCCTTTAGATTAGGGTGCTTCATAAAACCAAACCAAACCAAAATCCCCAGAAAGTTGTGTGTGGTACCCCACATATTGTGGACATTAACAAGACTGAGGAATAGAAGTTGGTTGGTCACATCCAACTGACAGTCTGTGAGTTTGGATCTGAATTGACTTAATGTAAAATGTGGTGCTTGCCCACATGAACAAAAGCGTATGTGTTTTTAAAGGCTCATTACCCTCAAAATGAGAGAAGATGGAATTAGGATGAAGCAGAAGGAGAGCATAAAGTGAGGCTAGCACATGACTTCATTTAATTTCTGTCATTATAAGTCTTAATGAAAAATATGGTAAAGTCCTTTCAACACATTTCCTGGTATTATGTAATATAATACTAAGGAAGTATCTTTGTTAAAGTAAGTCTTTAAGCAATTTTCTTTGATAAAATATTCCTTCTTGCATTGACCACTGCATTTTCTTCCTTCATGTTCTCTGAACCCTCTGACTACTGTGATAACATTGCAGGTCTTGTGTATGAGATTTTATCGTGTTAGGTCCTGTGCGAATTCTGTCCAGAATGTTCTGATCCAAAGATTTTACAGTTTAAAGCAAAATGCAGCAAAAGATAATTTTTTCTGTGTGGGTGTCTTTGCTGAAAACCAGTGAAGTATGTGCTATTCTGTGCATGGTCAAATGTATTCATCTCATTGTTTTACATTGCTATGAATGGAAATTGCAGAACTATCAAGAAATCTGTCACCAGATTAACAGTTTTTTCTTGCCTTTGTTCTAACCTCTGAAAGATGATTGCCTTTAGGGTAAAAAGTGGGATACTCAGCAGATTTTGGAAATGACTGAATGTCTTTTTCCTTTAGGGATAATAAAGTGCTGTTGAATGTAGGTAAAAATTTTGATCTGCTTTGCCAAGTGCACTGAGGCCTTTCACAGCATCAATGTTGAGCAAAACAGTAATAAACAGCTTGTCAGGCAGTTCTGTCTGTAGTTAATCCCTTGGTATTTGGCATTTTTTTTTTAGAAAGGATCTGAACCAGAATGGACTCTCTTTCTGAAATACAGCCTGGAAGCAGGTGCTAATTATTTACATACTATTAGATTCAGTGCGTGCTTGAATGCACAGTTAGCCCTTGTTATATGTGAGTTGTTGGTAAATTTTAGTTTGGCAAGGTTTACTGTAATTCTCTGTGCTTTTCAGGCTAAAAATATTCACAGTTTGAAATCGCCAAAGTGTTACTGTTAAAGAGGTTTCCCAATATTTTATCTTTTAAAAGTTCCCACCCAGACTGCAAACTATTTAGCTTTAGTGATTTTTAACCTCCACAGATTTATTTGTTTCTTCCCTCCTTCACTGCATAGAAAGATGCTGGAGGATGCTCAAGGAGTCTCCCAAGGGTCGTTCCTAGCCCACCAGTTGCTTAGAGTCTGGTAAATTCTCTCTGTGTTGTGGAGAGGTTTTGCAGAGATCTGCTAAGGCTAATTCACTTGGGTTATATAAATCTGGTTGTATTTGCTGACTCTAGTTGTTTCACACAAGACTGAGGGTTTTTCATGTATGTTGGTGTCAGGTGCCAGGAGCAAATGAGCTGTGAATGTGCATCAGTTTTGTGGTTAGTGCAAAGGCAGAAAAACCTGTTCGGTAAAAATCAGCCAGACAATGTCAGATTGTTTGCTAGGCTTGTGAGGAGAAGTTCAGATTGGATGATAAGTGTTCAGTTCAGTTCCTGAGTCAGTCCTTTCTGAAAGATAACAGATTTAGAGCATTTGTAATGGAGGGGCCTGGTGTAATACTTTGTTTCATTGATTGTGGAAAGGAAGCCATAAACAAACTGTAAATCTCTGATATAGGTAGATATATGGGGGGTTTTGATAGATTTATCTTGTGAGTCCAAATGTAATAAATTTGCCAGGCCTGCATTGCAAATTTAAACTTGTTTCTTGGAATAAAAGCAATTCTCTCTGCTGTTGTAGAGACAACATTTTGTTGTTGAACTAATAGTCTGTGATAGAAAAATGCAACTATTCAGTATTGCACCAGCCCAAATGAACTGCTGTGGCAGATAATACTAAATCTGAGTGCTGAATTCGGTGACTGATACCCAATGTACACCAAATCGGTTTTGCCTCAGTGTTGCAGCCTGAATTAGAGTAACATTAATAGAGGCATTCTTGCTTATAGGTGCTGTTCTGTCTGCCTTGTAACTAAAATATTTCATTGAGATTGAAGATTTTGGTGTGGTAAAATGCCAGCATCCTGCTGCCATGTTTTCTCTTGCCAGTAACACCAGAACCCATACTATAAACTTCTCTTTCCAGTAGGGTGGTAGTAGGGAATATGATACCTTTTTCTACTAGCTTGGCTTCTTTAAGGTACTTAGTTTAAGGCTGGGAATTAATAGCTTAAGAGAGTGATAGCCTGAGTGATATTTAAGTATTATTAAGGGAAGCACAAACCACATTGTTTATTGACTGTAATAAACAATATTAAAAAGGATGAAGAGCCTGCCTCAACCTCTGCTATGCCTAGCATATGTTTTTGTTTTACTAGCAAGTAAAAGTTTAAAACTGCAAAAATTCAAAGCCAAAACAGTTAGTAGTTTGCTGCTGTTTTGAAAGAAATGTGGGTTTTCCTTTATGCAATGGTAAAATTTCAAGCTGCTAGATAATATGAGGAAGTACATAGGCAGTAGATATTTTCAAAAACCTATTTAGTCATATTTTTTTTTCTCTTTGGACCCCTAACACCTTCTAAAATCTTCAAGTCTTCAGAGTTTTTTCTATGACAATGCTGGCTACAAGATGTCTATTAAGCTGAAAATCCAGAATAATAAACACATTGATAACATGTTATAAATCCTTCCTCAGGGAGGGATTTAAACACATCATCTATTCATGTACCACACCATTGCTATGGTAGCGCTAATACAGTGATAATGTATTGTCCCTTAAAAGAAGTTGACCTTTGTAACAAAGGAACAACTGCCCTCAAAGCACCTTTTAATTTGGTAAGTTTTACTGGGTGTAAGAATGTTTATTATTCCCAGCTGTTTGTCTCAGTGTTAATTTTTATGAGATCCTGTCCTGGGCATTCTCTTTTCTTCAATGCATGACTGTAATGACTGAGTTGAAGATCAGACTGTAAATGATTTTAAGTCCTTAGCAATCCTGTGTGAGGACTGTCTCCAGGTTATTTAACTGTTTTTTATCTATTCATGGGCCCCTATAGAACTGAATTTGTATTTCCCAGTTTGTTCAGATCGTCCTGGCTTTGTAACTTTGATAGCAGGATTGTGGATCCTAACATACTGGCAAAGCTCTGGCACTGCAGTAAGAGAGGTTCTTCCAGGTTTACTGGCAGTCCTGCCTAAGAGTATGAGCAGTGGATGACTGTGAACATAACAGCCTGTGCAACCAACTCTGCCTGTAGCAGAGAAGGCATTTTCTGTCAGTAAACTTCCTGCACTTGGGATGTGGGCTGGTTTTAAGGCACCTTGACAATTTAATGTTAATTAGTACAGATTAAAGAATTTGTTTCCACTTTATGAATCACCAAGACTTTTCGTTCTCCAAGATTAGATGTGGGAACTGTCTGCTGCACTGCACTGGCCTAGATGCAAAGTTTTATTCATATGAATTGAATCGTTTGGGGATGAATCAGTAAAAGATGCACTGATTTATAATAATCACTGACGCTGTTAGTATTAATGAGAAGAGCTGTGTGGTTCTCATGTCTCTTCCCTCTTTTCGTTTCAGTTCATCGCCTTTGCCTCTTTATTCTTCATCTTAGTTTCAATCACAACCTTTTGCCTGGAAACACATGAGGCTTTCAATACTATTATAAACAAAACTGAGCTGGTCACCAATGGGACAGAAACTGTGCTACAGTATGAAATCGAGACAGATCCTGCCCTGACGTATGTGGAAGGAGTCTGTGTGGTATGGTTTACATTTGAATTTTTAGTACGTGTTATTTTTTCCCCAAACAAACTTGAATTCATCAAAAACCTCCTGAATATCATTGACTTTGTGGCCATCCTGCCCTTCTACCTAGAAGTAGGCCTGAGTGGGCTCTCCTCGAAAGCTGCTAAGGACGTGCTTGGTTTCCTCAGGGTGGTGAGGTTCGTGAGGATCCTTCGAATCTTCAAGCTCACCCGGCACTTTGTGGGGCTCAGGGTGCTGGGGCACACACTGCGAGCCAGCACCAATGAATTTTTGCTGCTGATAATATTCCTGGCGCTTGGTGTTTTGATATTTGCCACCATGATCTACTACGCAGAGCGAGTGGGAGCCCAGCCTAATGACCCATCAGCGAGTGAGCACACACAGTTCAAGAATATCCCTATCGGCTTCTGGTGGGCTGTGGTCACCATGACCACACTGGGATACGGGGATATGTATCCACGGACTTGGTCAGGCATGCTGGTGGGAGCCCTGTGTGCTCTGGCAGGGGTGCTCACCATAGCCATGCCGGTGCCTGTGATAGTTAACAATTTTGGGATGTACTACTCCCTGGCCATGGCAAAGCAGAAACTGCCAAGGAAGCGGAAGAAGCACATCCCTCCTGCTCCTCAAGCCAGCTCACCCACCTTCTGCAAGACAGACTTGAACATGGCCTGCAATAGCACACAGGGTGACATCTGCCTGGGCAAGGACAACCAGCTGATGGAGCACAACAGATCATCAGGTAGGACCCCACTGGAAATGCATGTCCTCTGAAAACACTTTATAGACCAGTATGTTTGGTAGGGGTCAGAAAGCAGCTAGTCTTTCTGCCAGGAAAAGACATAGCTCCCACCCTTCTCCCCTCCAGTGTTTGCGTGTGTCAGTCTCATAGAGGATAAAATAGGTATAGTGATGTTCCCAAACCTCTATGTAGCTGGTCTATACAGTTTTGCTTGCTCTGTTGAGAATGCTTTCCTGCTGATGATATCAACCTTTTTTTTTGCCCGTTGTTTGTTGCGTCGTATGGATGTTTCTTGTTTTTTCTGCATGACTGTGATTATTTGAGCAGCCACCGTGTCCCACCCTGTTGGACTCCATGGTGTTTTGCCTCAGTGTCTGTCTCTTGTGTCAGCTTTGCCCGTGCCACATCGTGGCCTGTTAAGCAAGATCCTACAAAGAAGCAGTCATTTAAAAGGAGCAGGTGCTTTACATCAAAAGCCCAGCACTCAAAGGAAATAAGAAGAAATTATATTTCTAGCTTTCTTTCCATTTGGCATTCTGCTTCCCTGGCTAGACAAAACTCCTTTGTCTGTATTAGATGAGACATTGCATGATATTTACTATTAATTGAATGATAATAGTACAGCTGTTGTAAAGTTTGTCAAGAAAAATGAAAATGACATCCCCTAGCAACAACATCATTATTAGTGTTGATGTTTATGATTTATAGTATCTTATTTGTTAGAGTTCCAAATGATGGATAAGGAGTATTTTGTGCTAATCACATAATTATAAAAATGCATATCAAATGATAGCTTCTTCCCCTATATTCCATATCTCTTCAAATTAGAGTAAATTTTATCTGTCAGTGTATTTGAAACAAATTTTTTAGCAGCAAGGATTTTTTTGTTTGGTTTTGAATGTATTTATTCTTAAACCAAGCACAATCTGATTACAAAGCTCACATACCAGTCAGTAGACTAATGTTGGAAAGCTACTAAAAGTTAATAGAACAAAACCCCTGTCTGGTGTCATTCAGTAATTGAAATTTAGTTTTTACAAAGTATGGAGACTGGAAAATCAGTCTTTGAACAATATCCATCTTTGGTCTGTTGCTGTTACTGAATAGCATTTATGTTCAAAGAAGCTGGGTTTCAGTCTCCAAGTGAGTGTATGCAGACAAAGTTAACACAGCTTTTTGAGCATCCGAAATATATTTAAGAAGACGGAAACTCCTGAAAGGATTCACACTGTGGGTGGAATATAGTTAGTTTTACAGGGCTTTGAGTGATACACACTTTCAGATATCTTCAAAGTGTTAATAATAACAGCTTTTTCATGCCTTCAGGTCCCACTAAAGGTATTCCGGCATGGAGAAGGCTCAGTGTGATTAGAGCAAAGAGACACTTTTGTGTGTCTGCAGCTTTATTTACAAGGTGTTATAATCCTTGAAATTAGAGAGGAAGCAGATATGCAAAAAGGAGCCATTTTAAAGTGCCAACTTTCTCTTCCGTAGTGCCACCGTTCACATCATGCACTATATCTTTATTTCTGGTAAAGCTATTAGCATCACTAGGAATTCTGTGCAAAACTTCAATGCTGAATATAGCCCTTTGCATTACTAGTTCAGAAAAACACTTGCTCAGGTTTAAATGCAAAGCTAAAGCTGAAGTCAATAGCTTGCCATTATCTGTTATGTGCTGTTCTGAGCAGAGAATTTTTTATTGAAGTGTGGCCTGAATCTGAAATAGTAGATCATTTTTAAAGACAGTCCTCTGGGAGTGCCAAATCAGGAGAGGTAAGAGTTTACTGTTTGACAAAATAAACTACAGACCAAAGACAGCATTTAATGTTGGGTGCTTACAATGACAAGCAGTGCAAGTGTGAGAAGTAAATAAATGAAAACTAACTGCGTTATTAAAAAGATTTTAGTGCCAAATGTTGAAAATTTAACCCTCCTGGGGAGGGGTTGTCTTTTAAACTATAATAAGCAACATCTTCTAAGCAAAAATTATTAACATGCCTCTTGTTTAGCAAAAAATGATAGCCAATATAGTAAATACTTGTTTGAAATATCCAAGTCTGACTGCACCCTGAAAAGTTGCAGTACATAATAGGCAACCAACTGAGCCTTGATTTGGTTATTTCTTATTTCATGTTAGTTTAATATAACTTTATATGAGCTTTAAAAGAACAGGGAAGTCAAAAGATCATTGTTCTTTAATAGAAAATATACTTTTTGCCATTTTGTACTGATTAATGGTGAATTGCAATCTTGTTTTCTTCTAATGATTTACCTTATAACTATTTTTTGAGTGATGGGAATATCCAGCATTCAGCATAAGCTCTTTGTGATGTCTCATTTCCTCATTCATTATTGTCTGTAAATGGGCATGGTGCTTTAACCAGTGTTATCAGGTGAAGACAGTGCAGGAAGTGAGCAACCACTCTCACCTGGTGAAAGGCTCCCTCCCATCAGACGCTCTAGTACAAGAGACAAAAACAGAAGAGGGGGAACATGTTTCCTACTGACAACAGGTGATTACACGTGTGCTACTGATGGAGGGATCAGGAAAGGTATGAACTTCTTTCATTAGATCATAAAAGGTTACTCAGCAATGTGCTTGTGAAAAGCAATCAGAGTAAAATGATGTGCACAATGCTCTAAAAGGAAAGATTGTGCTCACAACATATCTTTTTTCTTTATTCCTAGTCATTTTTTCCTGCTTTCCTTTTAGAAATACTCATCTCCTTTAGTCTTCACAAAATGTGCTTGATGTTGGACCCCCATTTCACTTGTCTTCATTTGTCTGTTATCTTTAATGGAAAAGCCTGCAATTCAGACCTTGCTCATTCAGCCACTCATCACTCAATGCCATTTGTCATGATAAAAGAAAAATTAATTATTAATTTTGGTCTGCACTTAATAACTCATTAAAAATACAGCTGAATAAATCACACTTGAAAGGTTGAAATGTCAGAAGTAGGCAATGTTTTTGTCTGAACACAACAAAGCATATAACAAGATGCTGTTTAGATTTGTTCAAAGAAAAGTTTTGAGTTTATAGTGCCACAGAATGTTTCCTCTTTGTAATACACCACTGATGCTAAGAGGTAACTGTCGACCCCTGCCAGAATTCAACTACAGTAAACAGTGTTTGATCTTGCAAGGTGCTAAAAATGCCTTTCTGGTTATTCAGCCTCTTCAATTCTCATTACTCACTGTTCAGTAGGATTGGGTTCCCCAGGCAGAGTTTGCAAAACCTTTTGTCCTTATATGTACCACCCATGTGACTGATGGTGTGGCTACAAACCTAATAACCTCAGAGCATAGCAGTGCCAGTAAAAGTGTTGCAGTTTCCTTAGGTAAAAATTGCTTTGGTTTCTTGGCAAATTGTATCATTCTGACAAGTTTCACATTCCTGAGTGCTTACGTGCAGTCATTCACCTCAGGGTTCATCTAGAGTAGCCATGTGGCCCTGGACAAATATTTATGGCTGAGATTTTTCTGCTGTCTCCCCATCCTGTTCCCCCTCTTTTTTTAACCATGCTTTATGTTCAGCAAACATAGCTGTCCCACCCAGCCATAGACCCTAGTGGAATTCTCTTGTATTATTCTGCAAATGCTCTTTTCACATTTCAAAAGCATGAGCTCAGTAGGTTAAAGCTGTGAATCAGGTATGCAGCCAGAGTTTAATGTGTATGGTATTTCTAAAGAGTATGATTGCTTCTATGCTCCCGTTGTTTACATATTCCCATATTTAATGCTTAGATTAAATGGGACTTCATGGTAAACATGTTTTTGCACAGATTTAGGATGCTTTACACGGTGTGTAGGTTTTACATTGTAGTCTAAACAACTAGGATTATTTAAAATATCTCTAATGTAAGAGTCCAGGCTTTGAGGAGGTCAGGAATGCCTGAAGTATGCATATTGCCATGGCATCTTGCAAGATAAGGTTCTTGACTTCTTTTAGGAATATTAGTATAAATGTTTTGAATGCTGTTCACTTGACAGTAGATCATAAACAGATCTACTGTTTCCGATCAGAAATAACAGATCAGAAATAATAAGTTACAAGAACAGATTAGAAATAATAAGTTACCCACCAGCTACTAAAGAAATGGAGCATAATATGTAACAATAAAACCATGTAACGTGTAACAATGATATATAATAATAATTTGTTATATAACAATAAAACATAATTTATACTGGGATCATCTGAACATTTTAATTTCAAAATCTAGATTCAAGAGAAAAATGTTTCATAGCTTTTACTGGAAAAATAGGGCTTGAGTTCAGAACTGACAGTTTCTCAGTGAGAAATATGCTTTTTAACTGGTGGCTCGATGATAACCTTAGTCTAGGCTGAAATGTTTTAGCCACTGGCTTTCAGGTTTATTTTATAGAGAGTAAAAAGGTTATAGAGAGTAAAAAGGTTAGCTCGTGAGAAGAAACCATCTTCAAGCAACATTCAAATGATTTTGAATACTTGACTTTAATTCACACATCAAATCTACCCTTCATTTGATTCCTTTTTTGCTGCTTGGTTGTGTTCAATTATCATTTATTTTAAGCTTTTTTGCATTTGCACCTTATATCCATCTCTAAGATGACACTGATTCGGAGCTGATTCAAACCCCACCAAAATACCTGGAAAGTACCAATTTGGAATCATGCCTCTATTCATCTTGTGTATCTGGTTTTTGTTTTTTTTAGGAGTTCCTGGTCATCTTTACCATCTTCCTGTACCAGTTCTTTGCTTTTACTGTTAGAAAAGTTGCAGGAAAAATATTTTTAAAACATACTTTCCTACTTTCTGTGTAATGAAAGTCTACCTGACTATTTTGTTGTATACACTAGCATTGTGCTTCCCCTCAATTCTCCTTTCAAACATGATTCTAACGTGTGTAAATGCTGATAGAAACTCAGAAACTGGAGGCTGTTTTTGAAATGTATCAGAAGCCTGTGAAGCATCAGTCTAGCCTGCCCTTGCAATTTGGAGAGAGCACTGCAGAACGTTTTACCAGACATGAGGTTATACATTTGCTTAAAGTATAGCTTTACAGTATGTAATTCTCACTACATAAGAGATATGTTAATTGCCATTAGGGGAGAACATTAAATATGATTTTTGTTTTGGAGCTACTAACAACTCTCTGCCTGGTAACATCCAGTATGATGTTTAGCTGTATCGTTATTGGCATTTTAGAGTTTCTGTGGGAAACTTAGTATTTCACTGAAAGCATTTTATTCCTGAATGTCTTAAACTGACAAATGCTTAGATGCGTACTTGTCTTCAAGCAAATAGGTAGTGCTATTGAAATCAATGGGACTTATGCTTGCAGTGAAGCAGTATCCATGTACTTGAGTAGTGAGGTTCTGTCCAGCTCCATCTTCGTTGTATTTCCTTGCTGGTATCATCCTCCAGACTGATGGACTGAGCCTTTTCTTCATAAGTGGGTTTATTCAGGTGCTGTTGAAGACCCTTGAGTATGAAGATAGTGATGCAGTGAATAGCAGTGCTTTTCTGTCATTTTACAGAATAGCCTCTATGAGGTAAAAACAATCTATATGCAGCAAAAAGTAGCTAGCTAGAACTCACAGTGTATTTGAACATAAATCTCTGCAAGTGCAATGTTCTCTCCAAATTGTGAAGCATTATGTGGTTGTCTCATTTGATGCGTAATTATTTACTACTTACCTATGTGGACTAATAATCGTTATTTCATTTGAGTCAGTTGGAGAAGGAGCACAAAAATGGTGGTTTAAATTTGCCTATCAGGAGTCATTTATAAATATGTCAGACTCTGCTATCTTATTATACTTTAATATTCTATATTATTATACATTAGTATTAGACGCAAAGTCTTAGGGTTAATATTTCAGAGGATGGAGCTTCTTTTGCATATTATCATTCAGTCCTCTGCAGAAGTGATTTACACATACTGTATACAATTTGTCTGGGGTTTATTTTCTTTATTTTTAAAGAAAAAATATCCTTTATTAGGAATTGAGTTTATGAGAGATTATATAATTCTAACAATTTTTGTAGTCTGTCTTAATGGGGCTTTGATTATGCTTAGCCAGATAGCTCATCCAATAATGCTGCTGGGATCCTTTACCCTGCATTCTGTGCAACCCTGCTGAAGCCAACAGAGCAGCACTGAGTGCAAGATGGGGTGTGGGAGAGCAGGTCAGACCTCTTGTGTAGCAGTCTGTTTAATTTTCTAGGAAAGAATAGCTGCATCAATTTGTAAGCAATTTCATTTATTACTATCTTTTGGTAGTAATGCATCTCAGCATTGAGTTCTTTTGGAGGCAGATTCCCTGAGTCACAGATAGTTCCTTGGACTACATTACATTGTATTGTTTGTCTTTGTCTATTTTTTTGGCTGAATTCAACTGATGTCTGTGCATTTTCTCATACAAGGCTATGAAAAATCTCGAAGCTTAAACAGCATAGCTGGCTTGACAGGCAATGCTCTGCGACTGTCTCCAGTAACATCACCCTACAGCTCACCTTGTCCTCTAAGGCGCTCTCGGTCTCCCATCCCTTCCATCTTGTAAAGCAGATGGCATCAATCGACTACATAGTATTAATTCAGATACTGTTTACCACATAGTGAAAATAAATGTAGTGTTAACCATAGGCTCCACAAATATGGTATAACTTCTGCATGATAACTGTCAGTAATAAGAAATGCCACTTGGGTAGCTGAAGATTTTGATCTTGGCTTTTAAAGATTACCCAAGGTAGTGATTCTTCTTTTATCTACTATATGGTCCTGCTTTACTGTGGCAATAAAAGGACAGTTAGTGGATGCTGTTGGCCAGTATATTCGATAAATAAGCATATTTTCAGGGATAATTACTTAAAATAATGTGCTTCCAACTAATTATCAGTCACTCCATCGAACTTCCATTTCTTGTGACTCTAATCCATTCTGAAGATGTCTGCTGTGAAGGGTCTGCTCATTTGCATGGACCATCCTGTCTCCATCACCTGACAAGCAGTGTTGCTGACTGTGGAGACCACAGAGGGCTCTGGATGTGTGTTCTCACATTGTACCATCCTGCTGAAATGAAAGCACTGATAAACTGGTCTGCATGTGGGATTGTTTCTCTTTGTTTAACCTTTTCCTTTATTTTTTAACAATCTACCTGTTTATAAATGGCTTTATTTTGTGATTAACTTACTTCAGTACTGGATTGCTGTATCAGAGTTCTGAATGTCTCCGGTTGTTTGCACACAGATAACTGCAAAGAGGTTGTCATTACTGGTTACACGCAAGCAGAAGCCAGATCTCTTTCTTAATGGCTTGGGGAAGGCACAAAACATGCAAGAAAGGTAAACGCCATCCAGACTTGCAATTTTAAGCTAGCAAGTGCTGCTTGGTACTGTAGTAATTTCTCTGCTCCAGGGTTCTTCAACCTTTTCAGAGGCTGAGTACCAAGTAAAATTGAGAAGACTATTGGGGGCTTTTGTACTACTGTAAGAGGGGAGTAGTTCTCGAGTCAGATTTTTGACCAGACTAGACCTCTGGCTCATGAGCTTCAAAAATTTCTTCAGTCAGTCTTTTTTGAGGTGCTTTGTCCTATATGTTGTTTGTCTGTCTGTTTTGCAACCTGTCTACTGTATTTTCCATCTGTCTCCATAAAGCACAGAGATACTGTTAAAATGCCCCCATCTTTTAAGGTTAACTAAGGACATTTTTCTCCTTTTCTCTTTTTTCTTTTTTTTAAATTTTTTTTTCACATGGACTATACTTATGTGTATAGACACAAATATATATATTTTTCAAGTGCAAGTTAGTATTGTCTAGACTAACTCATGTGAGCACTCTGAAGATTTTTCCAGTGGGATTTAGTAGCAGCTTTACAGTACTGACCGGTTGCCTATTGCATCAATCTTCCTTCTAGCAACCAGCATTCGTTACAGTTTTGAAACTGTATCTCCTATAGTGGCTTTTTCATTCAATATTAACCTCTATTTATGCAACAGGACCAATGCAATGGCAGATTTGATGTTCTGGGCTGATGAGATAAAAATACCCTAAACTATAGTGTTAGAACTATATGGGAAAGACCATAACAACCACAATCTTGAGAGATCCTTGAGATTGTTGAGTAGTACCTGATTGTCATGTTTTATTTTTTGTCAGGGAAAGAAATATAACTTATTGCTGAACATATAACATGTTCTGTATATAGCCTAGCCCAATAGCATGACCTGCATGTCAGAATTATTGTACAATAATGTATTTATCAAAGTATACATTTCTGATATTTAGAGATGTACATTGATATAGTTTTGGTAAAATACTGTCAATAGAGAGATAATTGCAAACAGCTTTTAGCAAAAGAATTAATATAATATCTGGTGCTGCTGTTATATTAACTACAGTGTTGTACAGAATTTATCATGGATTTTTGACTGCTGAAAAAGGGACAATGGAATTTAGCCATACCAAGAACTGTACTGGAAAGAGACTGCTGCTGCTGAATGGGCCCAGATAAACAGCTCGCGCCTTGAGGAGATCACTGAGACTTACATGAGAAGTAGAGCTTGTTAAAGAAGATTAAAGACTGCTTGTAATTACTGCTGCCAGAGGAAGGGGGGACTAGTCACTGTTGATGAGTCAGCTGTAAATAAAACGTGTGTGCATGGAATATCAGTTTTTATCTATATCAAGGAAAGCTGAATTCAAGTCATCATTGCTAAGGCTCCATGCAAAGTCCCACACCGCTGTTCCCACTTCCTGGTTCCTGCAGTAAGCTGTGCTGTGGATCGTACAAAGACACACACTTAGTGATGTAAAGTACATCTGTCTTGACTTCTGTCATAATAATGGTATATTTTGCAGTGGTCACAAATATGAGCAGAATAGGTTTGCATAAGTCCTCAGTTTGCCATGACCTATATTTGTATGACTTCTAGTGTACATGCCAAGTCTTAAGTTTACTTTTCACTTTGATAACAGAAATGTGACTGCAGACAAACATCACTGACTTTGTTCACAGCACACAGTCTTTCATTGTTACCTCAAACTATAAGTATTATGAGAAATAAAAGTCTGGCAGCAAGTCTATTTTGGGTTTTTTTATTTTTTTTTCCTTTGAAATTCAGTGTTGCAAACCCAACATCAATAAGTATAAAAGGTGTATTAAAATGATATCTTACAAATGTATATTTTACATACAAGAGATATTCTTTGATCAGTTATTTTCTGTGATTTTTGTGATAAATGGATTTAGTCTATTCTATGTTTATTATGAGGCATTGTAGTGCTATGATGTGGTAATTATGTTCTCTCCACCCTATTCAGTGGGAAATTCTCCAGAATCTGTTTTTGTCACCCTGGTGTCCCGATTGTAGGGACCTGTCCCAGTTGTGAAACTCTGTATTGTGGAACTTCTGTGAACATGTCAAGGTGCATGCACAATCCTGGTGGAAACCAGTGGAAATGTAATAACCTGAATTGGAGAATAAAAGGCAAAAGACCTGGGGAGGAACTTGGAACATATCTTCTGAAGTGGCTCATGCTCTTTCTTTAGCTGTATTGGTCCCCTGCGTGCCACTGGCCATCCCAATTCTCAAACCAGTTTCCTGGGGTGCATAAGGAGCTAATAAAAAAAACTGGCATGAGCTGGCTATTAAAACAATTTAAAATCATCCTTCCTGTTAATGACCCCACACCGTGTGTGGAAATTGTAATTTGGCTAGCTGTTATCATACTCATTGAAGTTTTATTGCATACCAGTGTGAAGTCAACCTAAGGAGGAGGTGATAAATGGCTGCCTAAAACTCTTCATCCAATACTGTATTTGGGGCAATTAGTGAAATCCCTTAATAACTGAGCAGAGTATCTGAGAGGGGTAAGGCAAGCTAGTACAGCTGTACCCATGATCTGAGAGGCTGTTACCACAGTATTTTGGAAGAGGTGTTGGAATGTAAGAAAGATTCCAGAAAACTGGATCAAGAGGTGTTCAAGTTTTGAAAATGTATTATAGTAACATGCCACAAATGCTCAATGTGCTGATTTTGCGCAAAGGTTAGAAGTTGTCTATACTGTGACCTGTGAGCAGTACCTACACGAAGAAGACATATAGTGAGAAGGCACACCGCCAACTCCTGTCACACAGGTGAGATTTGTCTGGCTTTTCTCAGTGCTGCATGGGGATGTTGAGGAGCCCCAGATGGGAGGCAGACAAGGTGGTACTTTTTGTTGGGAAAGACTGTAGAAAACATGGACAACCAGATAGTATCTGATGTTTTCTACTGTCTCAGAATGGTAAGGAGCTAGAGCCTGGGTAGGCCTCCACTAACTCAGAGTGTTAACCTTGAGTCCAGAATATCCTGATTGCAGCTACTTATTTTTCCACTAGAGAACCAAGCCCATGTTTAATTGCTTTCTTTTAAAACACATCTGGAGGACAAGCTGATGGTGAGTCTGTTAACTATTCATGTGTCTTGGAGCTACAACCCAGATTTGACTGTTCTAAGAGGTGGTTTAACTACCAACTGTCAAAGACTAGCCCTCTCCTGTTCTTCCCCATTCTCAGCCCAAGTTGGAGTGAAAAGGCATTTTCATGGAGGGTAGGCCACCAAGATTTAACTTTCTCAGACTGAGGAAGGCTTTGAACCTAGATTTCACTATGTGAAGGTTGGGCAGCACATTTACATTCGTTTCCACTTTTGGCCATCCTTTAAAAATAAGTAGGTAAAGAACATCCTCTCGATTCACTGTGTTTATGCAGAGATCTGTCTGAGCTGAGCCCCCACAGGACTTTGGCCCTCCAGAAGCAAAACTATGTCTGGAGGAAGAGTTCTGGGTCAAGCAAGAAGGTGCTGTGTGAGTGTAGGTATTTTCAGAACCAAATACTCACCAAAGTGTGGTTGTAGACATTTCTGGGCTGCTTTAAGAGTCCAAAACCTTATATAATCCTTGAATAAGACTTGAAGGTTAGAAGTCAAAACTAGATAAATAAGCAGTGAGTTTGGAGCAATGCATCCATTAAGACAATTTACCAAAAAGACTGTTGCTTGTACACCCACTGAAGTTATAAAGTCAAAGTGTCAAAGATGAACATCTTTCTGAAGGATAAACTAGTGCAACAGCTGGATTGGTGCAGAGATCGAAAGCTGTGATGTATTGTGGAGAGAGCAGATTATGGAACCTTTGGGCTTTGAACAGTTATTGTCCTTCTGGAGCCTCATTCAGCACTGAGAAAACTTTGCTGTTCCAGAAAATTTTGAGGCACTGTACTACAAGTGTTATAGGTATGTACTGTAAACTGGCATTAGAGTTGCTAAGAAGCATGCAGCTAATGATAATTAGCATAATACTGTGTGTCAAGGTGCTTTTTCATGTGTGAAAAGATTATTGTTCCTAAAAGTTCCCTTACCAGAGGTATGGATTAAATTAACACTGTTGAAAGGGAAGGAAATTTAAGGAAGCCTCTGCTCAAATGGGTTACTGACAACTAGAGGGTGAAGGGACCGATCTGACATGAGCAAACTTGCCAGCATATTTAATGTGATGGTATGAATTTTAAAAGTCATGAATGAATTAACTATATGAAAGAGGAAGGCATTTTATCATCAGAATAAATCATGCAGAAGTCAGATAAAGGAAATTGGAATGGGAAACTGCTACTAGAAAGAGAAAATTAATATATTAATACGCTGTATTACAAGCAGTGGCTTGAACATTCCATAATAGAGCCTTTGAATACTGAGTAAGAAGAAATCACGAAACCCCCAAATGTTTCTATGAGGATAAAGTTATCAGTAATATTAATATTTTTACAATGCATTATTTTCCCCTTGGAAATACTTGTTATTTATTTAATTTTTAAAGAGATGGGTTATTTAATGGTGGTTTTAAAGTAGAATTGACTCATGAGCAAATGATGAGATGTTAGTGTTTGGTGTTAAGTTACCTAGCTGGTGTGCCATTATCAGCACTTCTCTCCTGCTTAACCAAATATCTCTGGGATATGTTGAAATTGCAGAAGTGTCTGATTCCCAGCCCCAGAGATGGAGATCTGTCACATGCTGGCTCTGCAGGAATTCAGGGGTGAGCTCCAGCCAGATGCAGCAGTGCTCTGTGGTGCTCCCTGTGGAAGTACCCTGAGCCTGGTCTGCATGTGGCTTCTCATTGCCTTCTGGCTTTCACCACCTTCTGCAACCTCATCCCCAAATCTCAGCCTTGCATTTTTTTCTCACGAGTATGTTGGTGAGCAGCTGACAGATTTCAGATTCATACTTTCACAGCTTCACGTTCACAGATGGCAATATTCGAGCATATTTGAAAAGATGAAATTGGAGGTGAAATGTTTTTGAAAATTTGGCATCAAAATGTAATGCATTCAGTATAATATCTCCCATATTATTTACAGGTGGAAGCCGGGAGATCAGTTTAAGATCAGGGTCACAACTAGGCTATACCAAATCTTCAGGATATGTTCATTTTATACTCTGCATCTGGTTAGAGTGTTGCTGCATTTTAATATCACTTGAAGCTCTCAGTTTTCTCTTCAAGTGGGATCTGGAGATTAGTTGCTAGGGCAAGTCAGAGAGAACTATTTTAAGTTAAATGTTTTCTCTATAGAATGGTTGTGACTCCTGTAAACATGAATTGTAATATGAAACGGATATTGCTTGGGAAATACTGAGGCTGTAATAGATGGCTGCAATCCATCTTTGTCGTGCAGAATGGTACAAGCACCCATTCTTTGAAACAGGGAAAGCAGCCTGATTTGTGTTGGCTTCCTCAGAGTAGTATTAGACCTGCATAAAATAATGAACTACCTAAAGAAAAAAAGTGGAAGGTGTTTCCCTTGACCTTAAGACAGCTTATTTGCAAAAGCAGCAAGATCCAACTTACTTAAGGAGCTTGGCCTTTGCAGTGAAAGAATACAAAACTCCATCTATCTGAGAATAGGAAACCATAGCCACATTATCCTGTTAGGCTGATGCTAAATATAGGATAGATTTGCAGTTCCTTACATGCATGTCCTTGCTTTGTGACTAAATAAAGCACCAACGGTTTATGAAAATCTTATTTTCTTCGTGAGTGTTGGTACAATGCACTTTTTGGCTCTCTGAAAGTCTTAAAACAATACTCTTGTCTAGAAGTACTTTCTGCATTTTGCCAGAATGAAAAATGCGGTTTCTACTGAACTAAAACACTGGAAAGGAGGGTACTGAAGGACATGGTTTGCTCCAGCTCTTATGGAATCTGTTGTATATAACTGTGACCAGAAATAAAAATACACAGATTTCCCTATATCAGTATCTTGACTTTGACTGTAACCTTTCCAGCTGTGAAACTCCTTAGTTTTGGTTGTAAATCACAGCAACAAAATTTATTTACTTATTGCTGTTTAATTTGATTAATTTGCTTTAAGTATATAAATAATGGAGTAATTATAGAGTTTAGCATCTCTAGGACTGAGTTCAGAGAAGAATTTATGCACAAACTTAATAAGTGCAGGTGTAATTATTGAAGAGATATCTCAGGACAGGACATTGTCGGAACAAGTTCCTAGTGTAAAATGGTCTCACTGAAATGAATGGCAAGCCTGTCCTTAGCTTACTTAAGCAAGGACAAGATTTTCTGAGGTTCCCAAGTCTTGGGAAGCAACAACTGGTTTATGTCATGGAAATTTGGTTTATGTCATGAACATTTCCAGGACATTTATCACCAACATCTTAGTTTTCAAATGTATTTCAGCTGAAATAATAGTAGTAAAAATAATAATGGAGTTTATTGCAGTGGTCACAAATTCTGGTTTGTGTACAAGTACCCATAAAGCTATGCAGCTGCAGCTTTTATCTGTGCCCTTTTTCTCCATCCTTCACCAGCTGTGGAGGATGCAGAACAGCCTTTGTGAGTCCCCAGGTCTTCATGCTGCAGCTGGAAGGTCCAGCCTCCTGGTTGCAGGGATAAGGCGTCACTTCCCACCCAACTCACCAGCAGGGTGTGCACCAACACCTCTGTCCCTTGCATTCCTGGTGCCTACCTCAAGTAAGCTGCTTGTGTTTCTCCAGAGCTAAAGAAGATGGATCAAGCATGTCCAGAGAACGATTTTATCCATCTCTTAGATAACTCTTTCAGTGTGGGTCAAACTGATCTCTGAAAGTGCCTGTTGTCTTAAAAACTAGCCTGATGTGCCTCCATTGCGGCACAGAGCCAGAGGCTCAGCACAGAGGCAACGTATCCCTGCTCCAGTGCCTGCCTTTCCTAGTGCTTTGATGGCCAAGGCTTCTTCATGAACATTTTCCCTCTGCTGTTCCAGAAAGAGTTTCTTTTTCAGAGCTTGCATTCTCAGAAGAAGGAAGTGTGCAATCAGATCCTGCCCAGGAGGTGGCTCATACTCAGATATGTGTGAGCCTGACATGTCCCCACACTGAGTCAGAAGCTTGCTTCTCTCTTTTTTTAGTTGCAAAAAGTACACCTCTGACTGAGCCATCCTATCATGTGAGCTCCAGGTGCACCTCAGACACACTTCTTGGAAG